TTCTGAAGTTTGTCGTAAATTTCTTTTCCTACTTTTCCATTATCGATTTTGAGGGTTTCTCTTGTATTATTGACAATTTCAATTGATTCGAACAAAGTCAGTCCTGATGATTCTAATTTAGTTATGTTGACTGGTAAAAATCTAAAATTTGACTGAATTTATGTTAAGTTTGGGCCTAAATTAGATTCAGCAATAATCCTAATATTTTTTTYGATTGAAACTGCGTCATCTGGATTCAATTTAAAAAATACATTTTGKATACTTGTAAAATTATCAGCGTAGTAAAATGCCGCCTCTAACCACGTTCCYGAATGGGTTATTATAGGAACAGCAGGAAGAGAAATACCAAAGGCTTCTGTTTTAAAAATCTCTAAACGTAATGGGGCTTTCAAAAATACTTTTTTAACATTTGACACGAGTCCGTCTACATTATTGAATTTTCCACAAATTGTTTCTGCTACTCAATGATGTGCATGTGCAAGACAGGTGACATGCACCATTTTCGAATAAAGTGCCTTTAACGAATTCACAGCTTTAATCATGTATAGTACGGCATCAGTAACAAAAGAAAATAAAAGAACATCACCGTGACAAATGCCTGCAGGCCATAGAAGAAACMTATTGATTTATCAAAAAGTTTACTTATTATGGAATAATTTTCTTTTCCTAACTCTTCGGAGGTCAATAAAAACAATTTACCCGGTGTATTTTTATCAAGAATACCAATGTCCWATAATCATATTTTCTACATAGTGGCCTTCGCAAGTTTGTTCCTTCGTTGTTTCATCTACAGGCACAAATATTTTTTGCCAATGACATTATTCCTAATATCTTTTATTGTTTCTCCATAACAATCAGTCAAATAATTTTTGTGTAAAGTTGATTCATCTGGTATTTCTTTACCAATATATGGTGTTAAAAAATTACGAAATATTGTATTATTTACTTTGTGGAAAGGAATGTTGGCTGCTAAAAACACTCCGCACATATCCATGTAAAGTTATGATATTTTACCGACCACATCAAAAATCAGTTTCTGTGACTGAGTTTGTTTCTGTCGATCAGCTGTACGAATGTATGTAGCCGTCTTTAAATGTTACATAAAAATTGTGTAGTTAATTTTGTAATTCGTTAATTTATTTTGTTTTTTAAAAAAATGTACTGAAATAAGCAATTTTTGTTTTTAAAATACCAAAATATGCAAAGTAAAAATAATATTATTTGATTCAGTAGAACATAAATAAAATTTGTATCCTAGTTAGCATTAAATTGGACAAATTGAAAAAAAATATGCAATTTTATAAACATCCGAGCCCTAGTTATGAAAATGATTGTATCAATTGTAAGCTAACACTAAGAATATTGTAACATTGAATAATGTAAAGGTTTATTTGGTTTAYTAAACTAGTGATGATAATGCAGTTGATAAGTAAATTAATTAGAATGACAGAATTTATTAGACCTATTTACAATATTATTCTAAAATGCTATTTTTTATTTTTAGCCTATATATGGATTTCATTCTAAAGACCATATACCATTTAGATATGCATCTGGTGGTGGACGAGAATTGCATTTCATTGATGATAAAGATATTGATCTTATTGAATTTGTTAATGCCCCTTTGGCTAAGTTGCCTTTAGAAATCAGCATTCGATGTTAGTCACATTACTTAGCATTATTAAATAGTTCCTACTTAAWTTATATTACATTTTTAGGCCACTGGCTGGCTATTGATGGAGTTCAACCAACTGTGCCAGAAAATCCTCCWTCTGTATCCAAAGATGTTCAAAAACTTGAATGTGTAGATCCTTTAAACAAATTAAAAAAACCCATTGATAAGGAAGTTTCTGGACGACCATCCACAGGGTATAAATATAACTATATATTTAAGGGGAAAAAATTTTTTAATTCATTTTTTTTTTTTTATCATTAGAAAAGCTCAAAAATTACGCAATGTTGAAACTGTTCATGTGAAACAATTGGCAACTCATGAGTTATCAGTTGAACAACAGCTTTATTATAAGGAAATAACAGAAGCTTGTGTTGGTTCTGATGAATCTCGAAGAGCTGTATGTATATAGATTATATATAGATTATTAATATAGATTTTCATTACAGGATGAAACGTTTAACAGTATACTTATATTTTTCAGTCAAAAATGTCCTAATTATTTGTGGTTTTGATGTGTATACAACTATGCATATCCTTCTTGCATTACTGTAACAAATCCCAAGTTAACTACTTAAACAATTTTAATAAAAGTTTTATCAATACATCTTTGAAAATTTGAAGATGATTTTAGCATTTTTTTCAATTCCTATAGGGTGGCAAACATGATTTTTGTTGGTCACAAATTATATTACTATTATAATTAATATAAGTTGGCATATTTTTAATTTTTTTTTTCATATAATGTGTAATCTGTTTCATACGAAAAGTATTTWGATGTTAACACAAAAATTATCTTTTGGATATTACTTTGAATTAGGCTTAAACATTTTCTACTTAAGTATCGATTATGAATTAAAAATAATAAAATAGTGATGAATTTTATACAATTAACCAATWAATTTTTTTCAGGAAGCTCTTCAAAGTTTGGCATCTGACCCAGGTCTTCATGAAATGTTACCTCGCATGTGTACATTTATTGCCGAAGGAGTAAAAGTAAATGTTGTTCAAAATAATTTAGCATTACTTATTTATTTAATGAGGATGGTCAAAGCATTATTGGATAATCCAGCACTTTATTTAGAAAAATATGTAAGTTTGATGACATATCCATATAACTGTTTCATTTTTATTATTCAATTATACAATTATGGTTTAGCTGCATGAAATCATCCCCTCTGTTGTCACTTGTGTTGTTAGTAAACAATTGTGCATGAGACCAGAAATTGACAATCATTGGGCTTTAAGAGATTTTGCCTCGCGTTTAATGGCACAAATTTGTAAAATGTTTAATACGCCAACAAACAATGTACAAACTCGTATAACTAGAGTATTTACAAATGCTACTAATTCGGACAAAACTGCTCTTCCATCAGTGTATGGTGCACTTGAAGGTAAATAAAATTAATCAACTATTTGTAACTATAAATTAATTAAATAAAATATTTTAGGTTTAGCAGAATTAGGAACTGAAACAATAAAAGTATTTGTCATCCCCAGAGTACGCATGATATCTGATAGACTAGATTCACCAGAAGTTACTCAGAATAATGTTGATCGGATATCTGGAAACCAAATTAAACACTTACTTTGCGTAATTTTTTTAAACTTTTGTTTTAAAATATTTTGTTTATAAATATATTTTCTAATTTACTTTTATTTCTTCAGAAAATATTGACTCCTGTATTAAAAATAACTCATTCACCACCAGATAGTTTAGACGAATACAAAAAAGAATTTGGATCTGTTGGAATACAATTGCATGCTGCTGTATGTAAAGCCCGTACAACGACTACTACTCAAAGTACAAGCAATCAAACTGTAACACAAACAAGTAAATAAATGTATTTTTTTTTTTTACAATTTGAAATACACAATCTATACAACATAGCACAATAAGTATATATGATATTATAATAGTAACATGAATATCTTGAATTAAGAAATCACCCTTTGGTGACACTTGGCTGAGAATTAACGCTGTCTAGAGTCTAGAACTTTGTTTTAAATAAATGTATTTAAATAAAATATAAAATGTGTTAACTTTATATTTAGTTGTTAATATTAAATTAAATCTATATAGATACACAATCTAGAACAGTTGTTGGTCGACCAGTCGCAACAACCACAAGTAACACTGTAAATCCTCAAAAATATGTTCTCATGTCTCAACGACCCGTTGTTGCACAAGTAAATCATTTAAATGCTCTAATATATGATAATCATATATTAAATATTTTTTTTT